TTTGTCAGAGGGGAAACCTTGAAACTCTCTTTTTTTTCTTCAATATTGAATTGCAACTCTACGAAAGTTTTTCTTAGGAGATTTGATAATTTGAAATGTCGGTAATAATAATGTAAATTATCTTTACATCTATAATATTTATTGATAACTTATACAAAACGATGGTGATGATATATCGCTATCTCTACCTTCGTTGGTTTACAAAACACGCTTTATCTTCCACTAACATTGAATCTCATAACAAAAGTTCGAACAAAAGTAAAATAAAAAGCATTAAACTAGTGAAAACTAAGCAACTAAAAAAAGAAATCAGCCACACTTTAATTGTCATTGTTGTACATTATTTTTATAGCAAGCATATCATGTCAATAATGCTAGATACATTAAATACGCAATGTGTGGTATGTAATGCTAGGACATTCATTCACTAAAACCATGAAAGGATAGTGAGAATTTGTACCATAATAGCTACAACAAGGCAAAACATCTAGATGTTATGAAATAATGTCAACCACTTTCCACATCTGATGTGGTCTGTGGTTTGCGGTTTCATAAAGTGTTGTCTCACTTCTCACTTTAAAGAGAATCATAAAGATTAAGTGCCTCGAATTATTCATGAAACAAAGTTAGGCCTTAACCGTTTCGAAACTAATGGTACAGTTGCTGAGTACATCTGGATAAGGTGGACTATCTTTCACAATACAAGCAAACGACCAAATTGTGTCAATCCTGGATAGCAACAATAACAGATTATTTGCTTCGAGACTGAATCAGAGGTTCACAGTCGCAAATCTGTGTCAGTATACAGATGGTTAAAACAAGCTCTTTACAAAGCTGACTCGTATGTCAGGCACCAGAAGAAGTACGTTCCCTATTCACAGTAAGGCACTGATACATGTGAAGAAATATTATTTTATGAGGATGAATCGTATTTCATCCTGCGACCACACGAAAAACGTATACTCATATATTAAGAACCTGAAACCCGACACAAAATCACTTGCGAACAGGAATACGGTGCTGTATTCAATACAGTTATATTGTATTAGAAGACACAATTTTACGGTTTAAATGTTATGCTTTGATACAGTTCCTGACGAAAATATGTATCCAAGGGTTAACGATTTGCGTTCCTATTCCGTAAAACGTTCGTTTTTCTTTCAGGCTGTGGTGCACAGTAAGAGCTACGGACAAATCTCACTACTTGGGCAGATAAGAGTAGTCCAAGGGTTGGCGGTGGGTGTTATTAACTCGCTGTCTTTCCTTTAGTCTATCACTTCAAAATTAAATATGTCTATACACAGTCTATACTGTAGTTTTGAGCGAAAATTCTAAAAAAAAAAAAAAAATGTTTAGTAACGGACCGAAATTGATAGTAAACTATTTTATATAATTCAATTTAGTTTTATAAAAAATAATACAAATGTATTTACGTTATACTTTCTTATCTTTTGTATCTGATTTTTTGTTGAATCAATGTTATTTTTTCATATATCTCTTTGAAAGCACAATTTGTACACAATTACAAAAAATACTAAATGTTGTACTTATTAAACACATGAAAACGTTTTACGTACTCCTTAAAATGTATGCTAATATTTTCTGAACTGATGTACCATCTCGGTTACATAAATTCTAGAAGTCTCACACCACGCTTTCTTAATTTGGTTTATAGGTTTGTTTTAGTGCAAAACTACATAAGGGGCTATCTGCGCTCTGTCAACCACGAGGAATCGAACACCGGATTTTAACGTTGGAAGCCTGTAAACATTACCGCTGACCCACTAGGGGACCTCGTCCTTAATGCAGACAAACCTAGATTCAAATTAACTGTGATACGGAAGATGACGTTTAGAGGAAGATGTTTCAGTCAATACATAATTTCGATGCACTTATAATTGATTTAAGGTAGACACTTACTGAAATTATGCATGATTTGAGGTGTTCTTGTGTTAACAAAAGTACTGAAGATATGGTAGCTTTACTTGATGCATTTAAAAAATTTAGTTGCACTAAGCTAAGTGTTATATTTTTGGTTGCAAGTTTGAAGGAAATGTCTTGCATGTTTTTGTAACAAAATTAAAAGTTATGTAATTAAATATCGTGCTAGAATATAGTAAATCAAATCCTAATTGTTCAGTGAATATAAGAAAATATTATCAATTAATTTCATGTTTTTGTATGTTATACTAAAAAAGGAGAATTAAATTTATTTCAAATTATGTCAAAGTGTAATTGTAAAAGTTTGTAATTGATAATGCATTAAATCTTATATGTACGTTTTAGTATTGTTAGCATTAAAGCAAAGCAGCATTTTTGTGTAATTTTTCAGTAAAATTTATCAGCGTAGCA